ATCCCTCTCCTCCCCAGGCTGGTGGTGGCGGTGGAGGAGGCCTTCACACACATCAAGGCCCTCGAAGTTTCTGTGGGGTCAAAATTTGGGATCCCCCATTCCCTGTGATTTCTCACCCCAAATCCATCGGAATTTCCCCCGAATCTCCATGATCTCCCACCCCAAATCCATCGGGATTTTTCCCCAATCCCAATCCCAATCCCTCTCCTCCCCAGGCTGGTGGTGGTGGTGGAGGAGGCCTTCACGCCCAATCCCAATCCCAATCCCAATCCCAATCCCTCTCCTCCCCAGGCTGGTGGTGGCGGTGGAAGAGGCTTTCACGCACATCAAAACCCTCAAAGTGGGGGGAATCTCATTTTGTGATGTCTCATTTGGGATCCCAAATCTCCGTGATTTCCCACCCCAATCCCCCAGGATTTCCCACCCCAATTCCCAGGGATTTCCCACCCCAATTCCCCAGGATTTCCCACCCCAAATCCATTGGGATTTTCCATCCCACATTCAAAGGCTTTCCCACCCCAAATGTCCCCCAAATCCAGGATTTTTTTTTTTCTCCCATATCCAGGGTGTTTCCCCCCCAATCCCTGCGATTTCCCCCCAAAACTCCGTGATTTCCCATTCCAAATCCATCGGGATTTCCCCCCCAAATCCCCAGCGTTTTGTACCCCAAATCCATCGGGATTTTTCCCTAATCCCAATCCCTGTCCCCAGGCTGGTGGTGGCGGTGGAGGAAGCTTTCACGCCCAATCCCAATCCCAATCCCAATCCCAATCCCTCTCCTCCCCAGGCTGGTGGTGGCGGTGGAGGAGGCCTTCACGCCCAATCCCAATCCCAATCAAGGCCCAATCCCAATCCCAATCCGTGTCCCCAGGCTGGTGGTGGCGGTGGAGGAAGCCTTCACACCCAATCCCAATCCCAATCAAGGCCCAATCCCAATCCCAATCCCAATCCCAATCCCTGTTCCCAGGCTGGTGGTGGCGGTGGAGGAGGCCTTCACGCCCAATCCCAATCCCAATCCCAATCCCTGTCCCTGTCCCCAGGCTGGTGGTGGCGGTGGAGGAGGCCT